TTTTTTTTTTTTTTTTTGAGATAGGGGTCTCACTAAGTCACTTTAGTCACCCAGACTGGGCTGGAATTCACATCCTCCTGCCTCAGCCTCTCAGAGTACTGGGATTGCAGGTGTGTACCACCATGCCTAGGGGCCCTTGCTTTTAACCACTCATTGTTGACAGTACCAAGAGTGTAACAAGAAAGAGAAAAGAGTTGTTCCTGCCTCTCAGAGGATACAAATGCTTCAGGGGATGCTGCTGGCAGCAGCAGAGGACAGAAGCTCTGAGGTCACAGTCCTGTCTTCAGATGGGGCAAGTAGAGACCAGGGGAAGTAGGTAGGGAGCCTGCAGGCAGGAGCTCGCCGGCACCTGTCTGTCCTCCCTGTCTGCTGCTGCATGGAACCCTTTAGCATCACAGTTCTCTCCTTACGGGTGGGAGGTGCAGGACTTCTCAGCACTCCTGGGATGTGTCGAAGCCCTATCAAGAGCCGGGTCTTCAGACCCTGTCTGCAGTTGGGACAGAACAATTTGCACGGCCACATCTGGCGAGGCTCACAGGCCATCTGTCTCCCACCTCGGCCCCTGGCTGGTGGGTCTCTGCTGCCCTCGCCTGTCATGAGCTGGTACCATCAGCCTCTGGACCAGGTCAGCCACTCTTCCTGCCGTCCAGCACTTTGGCCAGCTCTAGTGCCTGCTGCCCCCACTTCCGGTCCACCACAGTTCCCACCCACTCCCATCGCCCACATAGCCCAGCCCAGCCCTGCTCTGCAACTTCTCTGGCTTAACAGCCATTCTAGGAAACTGCCCCTGGGCTCCAGATGAGGCTGCACAGATGCAAAGAGATCGTATCTGATATTGCTGGATAAGAAGACCAGGTGATGGGATGTAGGCAGTGAGGCAGATGGACAGGCAAATTACCCGGTGATTGGACAGACAGAGTGGGCAGAGACCAGCAGGCAGGCACAAGCAGAACTCACACTGGGTAGACAGCCTGCGGACCACCGGCTCCATGCCCCAGGCGGCCAGGCTGCTGGCGCCCTGTACACCCTTCTCGTAGGCATTGCACACGGAGGCCACCAGGGGGTGGGCTTCCTTGGTGCTGGCGTAGGTCTTCTGGACGCACTCGCATGTGCCGCTCACCACCGGCAGCTGCAGGACGCGCTGCAACACGTTCTCCTGCTCCTGGCAGGGAAGGAGCACATTCCAGTCAGCCCCTCCCCGGCATCCCAGGAAGGGAGCTCAGCCTGGTCCCAGAGGCCAGCACAAGCACAAGGGACCTGGGAGGAACCTGGACAGAAGACGTCTCTGGATGCTTGAGTCATGGGAATGGCCCGCCATGCCCCACTGGGCACAGCCAGGCTGTGCGGCTGGGGTCTCTATTATCTGGGGTCAGGTCAGCCCCCAGCCTCGTCAGCATCCTCCTGGCCCCTACCCCAGATTGACTGGGAGACAGTAAGCACGGTGATCTTTCATCGTGGTTCATCTTAACACTTCTCCCACCCTTGCTAAGCCACAGCCTCGTGCCAGGGGACGCAGGTCCACTGCCGCACACCCCCCCCCATCTCTTCCTCTGTGAAGCTTCTGGCCTCTCCTCCCTAACATCAAAAGCTGTCTCGTCCTTCTCTGGGCCATCTCTCAGCCATCACACTGTCCCTCTCTCTCCCAGGATACCATCGTCGTTGCATCCCTAGCACCTTTACAGGCCCAGGACAGTTAGCTGGAGAAATAAATGACAGCCAGGGCTGCCTTGGAGAAGGCAGAATTTTAGATCTGCCCACATGCACAGAATCACAGCATCATGGCCTGTAGGGGGCTCTGCGGCAAGAATCCTTTCCAGAATTTCCCTGCTAGACTCGAGTTTGGATGCATCATTTCCCTCAGCTGGAGCTGGCCTCTCCCAGAGTGGCCTGTGCCCCTGTTGGACAGCTTTGCAGAGCTGACACCCGCCTCCACCCACTGCCCTACCCTCCATGTACTGGAGCAACCCTGGGCAGCTCTATTTCATCACTCAAGGGTTGGCCCTTCAGATATTTGAAATCAAACATGTCTCTCTTTGGAAGACCCTTTTGCACAGTAAATAGTTCCAGGTCCTAACTGAGTTTATGAATAGTTCACGCCATGGTCTGGTGACCCCCCTCCTCTGGATACGCTGCAGTTTGACACTGTCTGTCTCTTCTTCCTCTTCTCCTTCTCCTTCTCCCTCTCCCTCTCCTTCTCCTTCTTCTTTTTTGTATCAGGGATTGAACTCAGGACCTTGCACTTGCAAGGCAGGCGCAGTACCACTGAGCTAAATCCCCAGCCCAACACTGTCTTTCTTTAAAGTATAGCACTCAGATTTGAAGACAGTGCTCCAGGTATGGTCTGAGCGTGTGAGGTGTAGTGAGACTATCATTTCTTCTTTTGGGGGTTGCTGTGCTCTTATTAAAGCATTGAAAGCAGCTGTTACACAGTTAACCCTTAGGATCCTTAGTGGAGGGTACCATTAAGGGTGCCTTGGTGACCTGACCTCATTTAATTCCAACACTGAGCCTAAGTCAACATTGTCACCAGCACTCTGCTGATGCGGAGAGATTCAGAGACATGAAGTGACATATCCAGGATCACATGGCTAGTAATCGGCAGAGCAGCATTCCAAGTCAGGTTTGAAATGGCATTTCTGGGATTGTCTTCAAATAACACCAGACCAGAGACTGATGGAGTGATGGGGCCCTGGAGTCATGTTGCTGGCACTGGGAAGGGTGCATGGGACCTGAATAATTCTCCACCTGAAAAGTAAACTGAGAAAGCCCCCCACCTGATCCAGATGCTCTGGGTAGCTTTGGATGTGCCATTGTGGCAGGGTTCTGCTCCAGAGGTGAGGACCTGTCCTGGTCTGAGTAATGAGAGCCCCATAAGTACAGAACAGGCTATGAGATCTTAGTTTTTCATCCTGCAGGCGAGGTGGAAATTGGAGCTGGAGAAAGTTAAGAAAAACCTTTTTCTTTTTTGTGGTACTGGGGATTGAATTCAAAGCCTTCACAGGGAGCTACATCCCAGCCCCCTTCCTTTTTAAAATTTTGAGCCAGGGTCTTGCAAAATCACTAAGTTGCCAATGCTGGGCTCGAACTTGTGATCCTCCTGCTCCACCACACCTGGCTAAAAACCCTTGTCTTTAACATTTTGGACACAGCTTCAGGGTTTTGGACAAACCCAAAGGGGGAAAGAAATGTGCAAAGAAAGAACCCATCATTCATTAGAAAGACTCAACTATGCACACGATTGTTCTATGCCTATTTGTATTCTATGATTCAATCTAAGGTTTAACATGCTGATCTAGTACAAAGCAAAGCCCTATTTCAAATGAAATGGGAACCCAATGGATTCATAACTTTTAGATTTCACTATCTGAATTTTAGCCAAATCTGAGAGGTCTTGACAAAAAGTGTCAAGCATATCTAAAAGTACCATAATCACTCCAGTGCATGGTGAAAACCAGGTCAAAGCTAAACACTGGACACACTAAATGTCTACCTCATTCCCACTCACAGGGGTACAGTCTGAGCCCCAGGAGGTGTTGTTCAGGGCCTCAGTGACACCAGGGTAATGGAATGTTCCAGAACCCAGCTCTGCCCTGCATGTTTGTCCAACTGGGTGGTGGACAGAGCATAGACTCTCCAATTAGGTTTCAGGACATAGCATTTCCTTTCCTTCTGGTTCCCAACTGTGCCCTAGCCAGTATTTCTGTCCTTTTTCTCCAAAATGGCTCTTTTTTTTTATCACCACCACCCCCTCCCCGAGTCTGGGGATCAGCTCAGGACCTCGCGGATTGCGGAAACACTGAGCTAAATCTCTGGCCCCAAAGTGGTCCATTTTTAGTAGGCTTCTTATCTTTTCTCCAGACCATCCCACAGCCCTCTGCAAAAGGTGGTAAATTCAGGAATAACTGAGACACAGTCAGCGAACTGGAAAGGTAATTTTGACACATCTTGCTCAAGTCCTTGAATCCCCCTCCCTGGCCCACCTAACCCCGCCACAATCCATCCCGAGCCTCTCAGCCCCGGTACTCACAGGAAGGTCTCCATCCAGCAGCGTTGGACCCTTGTTCACTGCCATCCTACCTCTTCCCACAGCAGAGCAGAGTTCTTGGCTGTGAAAAGCCCACAGGCTGCAGTCCACAGGGTCAGGGCCCCACTGTTCTTGGCCACCCACCAGGCCCAGACTGCCAGCGAGCTTAGTAACCCTAGGAGAAGATGTTAGGTTGGAGCGTGGATGTCACACACAGGCGGCCACTCCTTAGGGTCCCACAGCCATTAGTTACTCCAGAGCCTACTGGTTAAGACAGATATTTCTTATAAGGGCCCAGGATAAGAAACAGACTACAGGTACAATAAGGGATAGAAGGTTTTAAATGAAATTTCAGGGCTCTTGAGTGTCCAAAAGAGACTAGAAAAATGAGTTTCAGGCTTAGTTGTTTTTGTTTTCTGAAAAAGCTCTGAGTTAATTCTTCTTTTTCTAAGCAAGTACCTCACCCCTCTATACTCCTCCAGATGAGTAAACAGTTACTGGTAAAACTCCCTATTTCAGCTGCATTCTGGAAAAACCAGCAGACCCCAAACAGCTGCTCTGTCCCCCTGGTCCTTCACCTTGGGGCTTCTCCTTGGTGGTTTCCCTGCAGCTCTCCAGCCCCCAGAAAAAATCCCCAAGAGCCCTTCCCCTCAACTCTCTCCCTTCAGCACCCACAAACGATCTGGGTGTGGCCCTGCCCTAGGACCGCACTCACTGCAGTGGACTGCCTCACGGTCGGCGGCAGTGGAGCCCGGCAGTAGAGTGTCTCCAGTGGTCTTCCAGCCACTCCAGGGAGTCTTGGGCAATGCTCCTCAGGCCTCAGGCTAGAGGAGGACAGAGAGCAAGAGAAAGCTGGGCCAGCCGTTTGCCATGGTCCCCTGGGGTCACCCTAAATGTTATAAGGACGTTTAGCCAATGGGGAGGTAGATTGCAGGGCTGCTAATGGTCCAGGCTCAGAGGTTTATTTGAACACCCTGAAGCATCACTTTGTAATATTTCTGGCCCTCAACTGGTAAAACAGTGCTTCCCATAAAGAAGCTATGGCTGGGCGTGGTGGCCCATGCCTGTAAATCCCAGCATTCGGGAGGCTGAGGCAGGAAGATCTCTGGGAGTTCGAAACCAGCCTGGGCTACATAGTGAGTTCCAGGTCAGTCTCAACTACATAGTGAGACCCTGTCTCAAAAAAGCCAAAAAA